TTGAAATATCTTTCAATTTCAGCCTTTTTGCATCTCTTATTATCCACAGAGTTGAATGTTAATTTGTTACCAGCACCTAAATAGGTAATTTTTTTGGATCTTAGGGTATAATTCTATGATTCAGATTAAAAACAATAACCCTTGCTCCATTTCTTCATCAGCTTGAATGTATTTTCCTATTCTTTGCCTTGAGAACTAAAATCAAACATTGGAAACACAGCTGAAATATAATTCTGAATCAGTCAAAATTTAGTTGCAAAAAACAAAAAGTACTGTAGTTATTTTAACCAACAAAGGAATTTAGTGGTTACAAAGGTTTTGAAAGGGCCAGTGTAGTAGGATTTCATTTGGGCATCTAGAAAGATGTCTCAGAACAACCTCGAAGAACTGGCCAGCAAGTGGAGCCCCTGTCAGAGACAGGAAGGCAGGGAGTGGTGAGGTCCAAGCAGCACTGCTCTGTCTAGATTTGCACCAGCTTCTCCACACCCTCACTGCTGGTGCCTGGGCACCAGGACTCTCGCCCAGCCATGCTGGCAGGCAGATAAAAAAGCAAACAAACAGAATAAAGGTCTTTATCTCACTGTCACCTTCCACTTCTCACTAGAGCACAGCTGATTAGTAGAATCTCAATCACATCCAGATCCTCTGGGGCAAGGGAATTGGAGAAATGTAGAACTTAACTTCTCTGTCCTCCAGAGCAGGGAGACATCCAAAAAGGGGTGAGGAAATTGTGCACAAGCCAATTCATAGCATCTGTCTGGTTCTTTATGCTGATTTTTCAACCCGTCTTCTGCTCTTGCAAATAATTTTGTTCACATGGCTATCATTGTGCCTGTCACCTTGTGTTATAACCACCTGTTTACACAGTTATCTTCATCACCACACAAAGTTTCTTGAAAACAACTGTCATGTCTTATACAACTTTTCATTGCCAAGGCCCAACACAGTTGACTCAAAGATTATAGGAAAACCAGTTTAAGAATAGAAGAAAGAATGTGGGCTTTGGAGTGAGAGGGACTCAGGTTTAAAACTTGCCTCTGAAACTTATAGGTGTGGAGTAAGTGACTTTATCTCTGTAAACATTAATTTCTTATCTGTAAAATAAAATATGCTAATCTCATAGGATTGTTGTGACCTTCATATGAGAGAATACATATGAAGCATAAAAATGCAAAGAATGATGTTTTAAAATTTACAGATTTTAGAATAATAAGCAAAATAGGGACTAGAATGATTCACAATAAAAACACACACCACTAAACTCTTTGAAGTCTGCCTTTTTGCCAAGATAAATAATTATTAAAGTGAAATCATTAATGTAACAATAATTTATTTGCCTCTAATAATAGTCATTATAATTAATTGGGTCCTAGCTATATGGCACATTCCAATTAGAAGGTGACTGATTTTTTTTTTTCATTTGTGGGGAAGAGCAATTAGCAGGTTGCTAACAACTTTAACGAAAAAAGCTTTGATGGAAGTGATGGAAGTGAAGCTGATGACATCCATGTTACACTAGGCAAGGTTTTATCCCAAACCAGTGGGTCACAGTCATAATATTGGTGAGGCAAGTGTGCATCTATCAGGGGCATGTCAGAAGTAAGAGAAGGCAGCAGTGCACACAGCCACTTGGGATGCCAGCTTCAAGGGGAACTTGTTTCTGAGGCAATTTTTATAAAAATAAAGATGCACCTTCACTTTGGTTGGTCTGAGTCCTCAGGGAGAAGGGTGTGGTATTTCATTCTAGAGTGTGAAGAGGATGAGGAAGGGGAGATCCTGGCAGGAATTAAGCAGATTCATGCAGTTCATCTCTCATTTCACACGGTCACTTTGTGACTCTTAATGCTTTTTATAACATTTATGTATATCATTTTACCTTCCATTGAATATTAAATTCTTTAGGATAGCAAGTTTGTCTCTTAATAAATCATTTTTGAAGCAAAATTTTAAGCTCTGAATTTATGGATAATATTCACTTTCCCCACCCTAGGTCTGAGCCAGACTCTGGCCACATTAGTGTCAAGCTAAGCTGTTTGTCCTCATTGGCTCTGATGTAAGTCCTAACATGGCATACGTGTGCTGTAATAGGCAAACATTCTATACCAAAGCAGATATACTGACGTCTGTATTTTTACCTTTTTTTTTTTTTTTTTTTTTTTTTTTGGTTTCTAGAATCATCTGGTCACAAATCCTTGTTTCCAACAAAATAAGATATTTTTCTATTCATTCAATTAATGACTGTTTAAACTGTGTTTTGAAATGTCTTCTTCTCTTGGACTTGCTGACTTCTATCTATATTTCCATGGAGTGCAGGAGTTGGAGCAACCACACCCAGTTTGCCACCAGTATGATATAACCACTTTCATCTGGAAGGAACTTTATGGTTGGAGAGAGGGATGGGCAGGGAGAAGAGGGCGATGAGTAGAACCAGTTAATGAGGTTGGTGGTGGAGGAAGAGGCCTGTTGGAGGATGCTCAAAGGAAATGAGTGGAACTGCTGCTGGGTTGAGGGAGGACTGAAAGTCGGTCGCCAAGATTGGTAAATGGCAGATGGAGGAGCCAAAAACACACTTATAGCCCAAGTAAACCATACCAGGGACAGGAGATTTGGGAAAGTGAGGGAGGGGGAAAGAGAGAGAACTGCCAGACTACCAATTCCTAATGTTAATGGGAGTTCTAGATAGAAACAGGGAAGGGTATGACTTTTATTCCATGGTCCCTGCATTGCATATAGGTGGTTTCTGGTTCTTCTTGCTCTTCTTTTTTCCTTTCTTTTTCTATTTCTCTTCTCTTGTCTCATCTCCCATCTGCCGCTTCTCTACTCTTCTGGCCTATTGGGGTATCTCCATGTCAAATAATTATTTGATGTCATCACAGCTTCAAACCATTAATTTATCAAGTCAGGAAATTGTAATTATTTTTAATAGAGGAGAAAGGGAACACGGATGTGACTAATGTTCAGGGAAAACCAGGCAACAGTCCAAAACACACTGTGTCTCCAGGACGGCAGTAGAAGGAATATCCCTCTGATCACATCTGGCATTACCTCGTGGAACTGGATGATTTCTTGGGGCTGAGAACTATTTTTCCAAGACATTATAACTCTATAAGAAAGTATTTTTCAAATCCCATTTTTCCCAAGAATCTCTGGTTCTAAAACAAAATCATTTTTGTTTTTTATGTTTTATTTCTCTTTTTGGTTCTGTTCCAAAGAATACTAAAACAGTCTTTGGGTCCTGGCATCGTCCCAATCCCCAAAGTTGTGGGTTTGATCCCCTGTGATCAGGGCACATACAGGAATCACCTAATGAATGCCTGGATATTCATATTCCCTCTCCTTCTCCCTCTCCCTCTCCCTCTCCCTCTCCCTCTCCCTCTCCCTCTCCCTCTCCCTCTCCCTCTCCCTCTTCCTCTCCCTCTCCCTCTCCCTCTCCATCTCCCTCCCTCCATCCCTTCCTTTCTCCCTCTGTCCCTCCTTCCTTCCCTCCCCCTTTCTCTTAAATCAATCACTAAATTTTTTTTTTTAAAAAGGAAGAAAAGCTCTTATATTATGGCCAATGGGTCTTAGTTCTACATACCTACACACCTTTCTCTTTTAAAAAATTCAATCTTTGTGATCTCTATTTCTTAGGTACTCCTTGCTAATATATCCTACACAAAGCATCAATAAGTAGATGGCATCAATAGTGTGGCTGGGAGATAGAGCAAGCAAGAGAAGAAAGGTCCTGTTGTCCTAACATGAGCATCTGGGTTGGGAGATTACCAGAATAGCAACAGTGAAGTTTGATCCAACTTTGGTTGAGGGAACGGTCCGTTCAGTTGAAGCTGTGATGATAACATTCCCCTTTTTGGAGTGCAAACCATGGCCAGCCACTATGGGAAGCATCTAGTGAGTCCTAGGGGCCACTGAGCTCTGGTTTCCTTGTTCCTTCTTAGAATAGCTCTTCAGTGAGAATGGCAGCCTCTGTTTGCTTGTGGTAAAGTGTTAAGTTTCACTGTTACCAGGAATATGAAGGTCTTTGACTATATATGAGCATATAAAAAGATCAAACGATTATTTCCTTTTTTTTTTTTTTTCTAATGGGCCATGGGGCATGTGTTTTTAATAGACCATTGATTCGGTAAGTATAAACATAATGTTGCCTAGTGCTTTTAAGATCATCAATAAAGATACTTGGTATCATAAGGTAGTGAGTAGGAGTAGAATTTCTATGATTAAGGGGCTAAAAAAATATAATATTTTTTTGCAGTAGCTTTATGACACACTCTCTTACCTATCACTCATCTCTCTCTCTTTTTTTAAAATCCTTTTTCACTTTCTTTCCTAGCCACTATTCCCCTTTTAAAAAGTAATGTCTGGTTGAACCCTGGCCAGTGTGATTCAGTGGCTGAGCATCCAACTATGAACCAGGAGGTCATGGTTTGATTCTGGTCACGGCATATGCTTCGGTTGCAGGTTTGATCCCTAGTGAGGGGTGTGCAGGGGGCAGCTGATCAATAATCCTCTCTCCTCATTGATGTTTCTCTTTCTCTCCCTCTCACTTCCTCTCTGAAATCAATAAAAATATATATATTGAAGAAAAAAAAAGTAATGTCTGGGAAGAAGCATATACTGAGATAAAGATTCAGTTGGTCTTCTGATCTTAATATAGATCATGCAGTGTGATGCAAAGAAGCTGAGACTGAGAGTTAGATGGCCTTCACCATGGCCTGGGATAAATCTCAGGGCAAAGAACCAGGAGTCTCATTGAGTTTATCTTGAAGAAATCATCTGGGTGTAAAGTGGGGACTTGAATATTATGTCAAATACTGAATGTTAACAAAGTGGGGTATTATTAATCTTAGAATAAATATCCAAAATGTCTTCATGACAGCCTGGTCTCTGCCTCCCTGCCCTTCTAAAAAGTGGCACAAGCTGGGAGTGTATGAGTAGTTGTGGCTGTGCTATTCCCTGAGAACTGACCCCTCGGTGTAACTCTGACCCTCTCTTGTGCTCTACAGGGCCTACATGAGTGTGAAGGAGCTGAAGGAGGCGCTGCAGCTCAACAGCACACACTTCCTCAATGTCTATTTTGCCAGCTCTGTGCAGGAAGACCTTGCAGGTGCTGCCACCTGGCCTTGGGATAAGGAAGCCATCAGTCACCTGGGTAAGTGAAGTGGAGACTAAACATGAATTTGTCAAAATGTTTCACTGCAAAAAGGTAAGAGATATCAGAGCAAACAGAGGGAAATATCCAGGATGTTCTAGACCTGTAGTCGGCAAACTGCGGCTCACGAGCCACATGTGGCTCTTTGGCCTTTTGAGTGTGGCTCTTCCACAAAATACCATGGCCTGAGTGAGTCTATTTTGAAGAAGTGGCATTAGAAGTTTAAGTTTAAAAAAATTGGCTCTCAAAAGAAATTTCAATCGTACTGTTGATATTTGGCTCTGTTGACTAATGAGTTTGCCAACCACTGTTCTAGACTAACTCTATAATCTAGATGTAAATAAAGTGATGACATGGAATGAGATTGATTCTATATGTTGGAGGCATAACAATTAAACCCAATGAATGAAGACCAGAGGAAGTAACAAAAGTAGAAAGAAATAAAATAGAAAGTAAACGTTCATTAGAATAAAATTAACAGAACCAAAAGTTTTTCGGGGGAGGAAGGAAAAAAGGATTGATAGACCCCTAGAGAGTGAAAAAACAACCCTGTTCAAGAAAAAGTAAATAATAGAGAAGGAATGTATTACCACTCTGAGGAATAAAGGAGGTAATATTTTTACATATACTTTGACATTAATAGGCAATAAGTATTTTTCACAAATGGTATTGAAGCAATTGGAATCCAAAGGCAGAAGAGGAATCTTAATGTGAATTTTACACCTTGTACAGAAATTAACTCAAAATAGATCAGATATTTAAATATAAAAAATAAAACTATATAACTTTAAAAGGAAACATAGGAGAAAATTGTCAGGGCAGGACTACAAGAGAGAGTGAACTTATAAATAACACCAAAAGCATAGTCCATATAAATAACTGATAAATTGTATTTCATCAAAATTTAAAACTTTTTCTCTGAGTCTGTTTAGACAAAGAAACATCACACTTGGAAGAAATATTTGCACACTATACATCTCACAAAGGATTTGTATCTAGAATATATAACGAACTCTCAAAATTCAATAGTAAAACAGACATTCCAATTAGAAAACGGGCAATACAAGGACAAACATTTTACCAAAGCGGAAATACAGATGGGAAATAAGTACATGAACAGATGTTTAATATAATTAGCCATTAGGGAGATTTCAAATTGAAGCCAGATGTAACTACTCACTTATTAGAATGGCCAAAATAAAAAATGCAGGGGGATGTAAGGTACAGCCCAGGGAATAGAGTTGATACTATTGGAATACATGTGCACACTGATAGGTAGCTACTAGACTTACTGTGGTGATAGTATCATGAGGTATGTAAATGTCAAATTACTATATTGGACAACAAATACTGTATGCCAACTAAATTTTAATTTTAAAAATAATGACAGCATTAAATGCTGGTGAAGACGTAGGGACACTGGATATCTCCTATATTGCTGGTGAAATGTAAAATGGCACAGCCACTCTGCAGAATACTTTGGCAGTTTCTTATAAAACTAAGCAAACATATGCTCTATGCTCCAGCCAGTGGACTCTTGGACAATGATTATAGAGAAATGTAAACTTAAACCAATTCAAAAGCTTTTATATCAATTGTCCTAGCAGTTTTATTTGTAACTAGGGGCCCAGTGCATGAATTCATGCACCTTGAAAGGAACTGTGGGTTGTGAGGCTGTGGTGAGCATAGGGGCACATCCCATCCTCCATGCTCCTGCCCGGCCCCTCCCACCACAGCCTCCTGTTCCCTATGTGCCAGCAGCCCCGCTCCCACCACCTCTCCCATGCACTCCATGCAGTAATTGGGGCCAGCATCAGCAGCAGGTGTGAGCGCCTGGTGGGACCATGGTGCGCAGAAGAAATGAATTTTCAGTAACCACCAGTGCCTCACCCTAATGACAGTGACTGCCTTGGTTTGGCGCTCCCATTCACCTGCTCCACCATCCCACTGCAGCTAACACCCACCATGATCTATGCTCTGCCACCTGCTGCTGACCCCACTATGTTCCACTCATGCCCTCTGGTGGTCAGTGCATGTCAATAGCAACCGGTTGTTTGGTTGTTCCACCATTTGGTCCATTTACATATTAGCCTTTTATTATATAGGATAGTTTCAAACTGCAAATGACAAAAGTGAGTTCAGTGCTAACTGCTTACACCAAGTACAATGGAATCTATTCAGCAACAAGAAGGAACAAAGAACTCATGCATGGAATGACTCAGATGACTCTCAAGGGTATTATGCTGAGTAGGAAAAAAATCCCCAAAGTTACCTGCTGTATGATTCCATCTATGTAGTTATTTTCAAAAATGACAGAATTATAGAGACAGAGAACAAGTTAGTGCTTTTCAGGGGTTAGGAATGGGGTAGAGATAGGGTGGCGGGATATGAGTATGGGTGAGACAAAATGATAGCAGGTGGGTAATCTTAATGGTGATGGAACAGTTCAGTATCTTTTTCTTAAGTCATCATCCTTGGATATATTTAGAGAGTAATGGAGATGGGGAGAGGGAGGGAAAGAGGATGGAAGGGAGAGAAAGATAAGAAAGAAACATTGATGTGAGAGAGAAACATCAATTGGTTGACTCCCATTCTTGTCCTGACCAGGGATTGAACCCACAGCCTAGGTATATGCCCTGACCAGGAAACAAACCCACAACCTCTTGATCTACCGGGTCAGGGTTCAGTACCCTGATTTTGGTGGTGGTGTGGTTATACAAAGATATCCCTGTGATAAAATTGTGTAGAGTTACACATACTCATGTGTGCATGTAAGACCTTGTGAAATCTGCATAAGGTCTGTAACCTCTATGCAGAAGCAGAGACTTGGCATATAGCAGGTGTTTGTTGAATGCTTAGTGAATGAAGAGATAAATGAATAAATGAATAAATGAGTGAAGATATTAAATTTAAATGGTTTCCAGAATTATCTCACGAATTATTGACTCATCATGAATTGCAAAAGAAGCTGGGGATACTTATGTTTTACTCTTAAGCATTTTTTAAAGCTATGTCCCCCTATAGCCTGATAGGTAATGTGATCTTCAGGAGTAGCCTGAGCAGCTGAGAGGTCTGACTCAGTGTGAAATGGCTCCTGTTCATACTTACTTCTTCTTGTTCAGTCATCACTGTGATTGAACAAAGAAATTCTTTTTACCTAAACCAGGCATAGAACAGTACAGGCAGCAGCATAACATGATAGAGAAAGACATTTAGGAGTTTCTTTAAAAAACACAAACACACACATATATTTTTAAAAAATATATTTTATTGATTTTTTACAGAGTGGAAAGGAGAGAGATAGAGAGCTAGAAATGTCGATGAGAGAGAAACATCGACCAGCTGCCTCCTGCACACCCCACACCAGGGATGTGCCCGCAACCAACGTACATGCCCCTGACCGGAATTGAACCTGGGACCTTTCAGTCCACAGTCCAACGCTCTACCACTGAGTCAAACCGGTTTCGGCCACACACATATTTTTACTGATTTCAGAGAGGAAGGGAGAGGGGGAGAGAGAGAGACAAAATAATCAATGATGGGAATCATTGATCAGCTGCCTCCTGGTTGGAGCCCACAGCCTGGGGATATGCTCTGACTAGGAATTGAACCTTGACCTTCCAGTTCATAGGTTGACACTCAACCACTGAGCCGTACCAACCAGGCTAGGATTTTCTTAATAGTCTTTTCAAGTCTTGAAATTACTTGTTTGTATCAGCACATAGGACTCCTGCATTTTGAGAGTCAGCTGAGTGACCTAGAAGATAAGTACAGTAGCCATTGTTTGAAGATTGAATCCAGATTCTGATCACCATTGGCTTCAATGACTATCCTAAAAGACCAAGGTGATGTGTGGTACTCCTTTGCCATTAATGTCATTTCTGCCATTTAGGGTAATTTTGTACTTTTAATCCTATTAGTAATCCAGGGCAGAATTTTTCATAAGTAAATGAATGTATGAGATCCCCTAATGTTTATTGGTTTGAGTATCTTTAGCCTTAGTACTCAACACTTAAATTGAAAATATATCTTCAAAGACAGAAAACTAATTTAAGTGGTAAACTCTTTATAAACTATTAATCCCAGGCACTTGATGATAATTCATTCACTTATTCATCCAGAACCTATTGAATCTGTTTCATGGCAATACCAGAGACAGGACAATAAATGAATTCACTCTAAAGGTTTGCACAGCTTACCTGGGAGATAGAGTGTATACACACACATAGAGTGCAGTGTAATGATACCGCACATGAGGTCAGGCAAGAGCTGGAGAGAAGGTACTATGTTGTACCCATAGCACCTGGGATGAGTTTCCAGAGGCAGAAGAGGGGAATTGAAAGAGCTTTGCTTGGCAGACAGTGAGAAGGCATTCCAGACCGAGTAGGCTCATAGGTGCCAAGGTTTGGGCTGTTAAAGTGGAATATATTGGCTAGAAGAGTGATCTTCAAATTTATTTTTGCAGAGCACTTGTACCCCCTAAAAGACTTTGAAAAATCACTGTGCCCTTTGCACAGCCTAAAAGTGACATCTAAACATTCAATCATACATTTCAATAGAAGCAAATAACATAAATTCTGCTATACTATTATAAATTATTGAAATTTTAAAATAAAATTTAAGTCTACTCTTCTAAATGTATTCTAGGTAATATAACAATTTGATAATCCTTATTTATTTTTAAAAATTTGTGGCCACACACTTTTTTTTAACATTGGGGTACTATTTACTGATTTTTTTTCTCTTTGAATTTGTGTTTCTACTTCATTTTTCCTATAGAACTTCATATTAATGGGACATATAGGTGCTTATTTTTTCAAAGTCTCAGTTGGTCACCCATTTCTCTGCTAAAAACATATTTTGAATAAAACAAATTTTGCATTAATTATTTTTAAACTAAACTTTTAAATGTTGATACAGTAGTATATTTGCATGTGGAATAATACAAATAGATTCCATAAACTGCTTACCTATTTTTCTCAATGGTAGTATCTAACAAA